TGTCAGGGAGGAATATATCATGCAGCATGACCACGTGTTTTTTATGGCAACTTGATATTCGATCAATTACTATCCAATAAAACTCTCTTTTCAAATGATACAGTGCACATCGTTCGCTGTGTTTGGTACGCTATCCCGACTCATTGCGAACACTATCAATCGTCTCAGAACGGTCATTGCGACCTATGATGCATAAAGGATGCATTTAGAATTGTGAATATACGAATGTCGGATGTGAACTTGCATCGTCGCGTTGGCAATAACTGACACACTGACGTTGAACCAGACATTGACAAAAAGATCGTGCTTAGTGCAAAACTGTTATTTTACAAATCTATGGCTATTATAGGCCTTGATCACGATCTCATTAGCCAAGACTAGCATATCTTTGATAGGTGCAGAACAATAAAGGTATGTTGCTGGTGGCGATACGCATGATCGCGTGGTCTTTGCCTTCCCGTGTGATGCTGATAAACGCACACCTACATCACTTTCTTACCATCTTCTCGATCGCTTCAATCACCGAGAAACATAGCAGCGTCCCCTCGTCATCGCAATGACCAAGGTTAGGGTTTTGATCGACTTCTCGGCGCTATCGTAAGCCAAACAACTTGATTCAGTAAGCGGGTCGTCCAATGCGTCAGAAGACTAGCGAATGTCTGGGCGCTCTACAACAATCACGAGCAAAGTGTTCCGCCGACACTGCCTCTTCTTGCCGGTCAAAATGGAGTCCAAGACTGCTTTATACCGGATGCATCATCGAAACGCCTGATCAGATGGTCCACCAATTTGTTCGGTGATACACGTGGTGAACACAACCTCAAATTGTAACGTACCAAACGAGGCACGGCTTGAGCCCAAGCTCCCGAAAACCAAGTGTCGTCTGCACGGCTGCGTGACGATGCTCTCTGAGATGGCCACCACACAGCAAACCGCATAGGTTTGTTCCGGACGTGTGATGGTGATAAGCGGAACGAATGGATCCAGTTAGTACATGCATCACTTGTTTTCCGGACTGAATCTACTATGCATGCGGTCAGAATGAAAGCTGCTTGGCACTACGCAAGCACATATCTTCTATCTATCACCTGGTGATAGCTGTTCGACCGTTTTCTCTCACGTGCAGCAAGCTTTGCTGAACTCAGTGTACGGCTGCGAGGCACGCTATGTAGTTTAGAGTACGGCGCTCTATCTCAGTGCTTCGTAGAAGCTGTTTCCCGTCTTCAGCGCGCACTTGCCGAGTAGGGTGTACATGTAAGATTGTTTACACATCAAAGGAAGAGAGCAAAATCTAGCTGAGAAGTGGCTAGAAATGCGTTCAATGGACGTTTGCCCTATATGAGAGATGTGGTCCCTAAGTGTGCAAATATGTGTACTAGCGCTTCAATTCGTCATTCATGAAGTCATCTCGATACGCGTCAAAGTGGATGACTCCGAGAATGATTTTGTTGTGGACAGACAGTGCGTGTCCAACATTCTTATGGCGAGGTATTCATTTGTGTACGTCAGCCGAATAGTCAAATGTACGGGTTACAACCTATTCCATGATGGCGGTCACTTTTCGTCGATCGTCCTTACCAATTGAAGTTATGGTCGAGCGGGGGTCATAATAGTTTGAGCCCGTAACAAGATATCGACGGAAATTTGGTTGTCATTGTGAACACAGTCTCAGCGGCTTATCTTCAGCCAAATTGTTACCATCACATCACAAGAACATGTACGCTGGATGCAACCGATAACAGCACACTGCGCATTGTCTGATTCGAGTCACTGAATAAAACACAGTCACGATCCAGAACCGACGCGCGCGATGAGTAGTGAACAGGCCGTTGGCATCCACACTTGTAGTACGATCCATCTACAGAACATCCAGAACATATTTGCAAAATAGAGGGGCAAAAAAGTATGAAGGCTCGCCCATATACATGAGTAATTTAGCTTGGAAAACAGAACTGCGTTGTGGTTATTCACGCAACTTTGTCGGACGGTAGGGAGGGCGTTTGAGGAGATGAGTCGCGCGTCATGAGGTGCAACATATAAGCGTTGCCGTATTTGCTGTGTGTTGAAGCACCTCGCTACTGTTGCTGATGTGCTGAAGAGAAGGATTCAATAAACGATCGACGAAAGCGGATCTATCCTGTGCAGCGACAACACGGAAATGCGACCGACGATATGAAACTGACCAGCGAGGACAATCGAGTTCAGAATGTCCCTCTGTTGTCGAGGGTAGTGGTTGAGTATAAACTTGCGACTTTTGTTTTTGAGCAAATGTAGAGAATGTGACTATGCTGCATGTCAGTGTCGCGTTGTTAGTGATGATCCTTTTTTTGTAGCGTGTTAATGTCTCTGCTGGACGCATAGACCGACATGTAGACATAGACAGAAAGAAAGCAGCTGTCGAGACCGTTCAAAATTTATTCGGCACACTCGCTAATAGCTTCGAACCTTGGGCTCACAATCATAACTCCAACTATACTAAATGCAATTCTCGCTTCTCATTCGACTGAGCTTGTCTAGTCTGATCGACTCCGAGCCCTTCCTACACTTAGAGTGTGTGAGAGTCAAGAGGTCAAAGATCCTTCTTTGTGGCGGTGTAGAAAGCTTCCGCTGTGGTCAGGGTAAGCGAAACGTGCCCTCTTACAAGGTACTTGACGGCGCATTTCTGTCGTTCACACTAGCCCGCGCACTCCACCCTGACGTCGGGTGCAGATGGGTTGTTCATCCATCGATAGTCGCTCGCTGCGACTTCGTTCGACGCCTTACTCGGGCGTGATCAAGATCGCTCCTCTCCGGCCTTCGACAAGCTGATGCTACGTAGATACATGGCCGATTATTCCAGGTCGGTATGTGACCACAAACCCGTTTCCATGGTACTCGCGGTTCATCAGCTTCCGTCTATATCGCTTCGTGCTTCCAGTGCGCAACAGGACACGAACTCATCAGTCTTATTCCGGACTTCCACCCACTCAGCACTCTTGGAAAGTGAAAGTTCGTCGGCAAGCTAAAGAATGGATCTTGTATTCGCTAACAGGAGTGCAAAGGTTGCTCTGTTCGCACAAGGAGATCACACAACATTTGTACAATCGTTGTTCCACCCCCACGCCTATGATTGCAGGTTGCAAAATTGCGTGTAAAGTCGCACATTCGGACAGCTACTAGTCATCATATGAGAGCATCACTTTCTTTCAAATTTGTGCTTCGAACCCAAAGTCACGTTGCAGTCGACATTCCACTTCTCTGGGTTGCATTCGCCGTCGTAGATCTCATCTTCGAAGAGTCCACTGGTTACAAAAGCAATCACGCTTGAGCCCTGTAGCGTGCTGCACCGCCAACCAGGTAGTATATCTACCGAGAAGGGGTCAAGCGTTATTTCTACGTCGACAGCCACGTAAGACCATTTAGTGGACTGTGTTTCTATCGACCCTGTAATGTCCGGTTTAGTGCGGCATCCCATGCTGTTGACTAGCCGCCGTCTTGTTTGTCGCGCCAAGTCATCAACGAATTCGTTTCATACAAGACCTGTTGCTCAATCATGGGGGTACTCAAGCAAACATGCATTGTTCGTCGCCCGAGGCGGCCATGCACTCCCGAATATAGATACACACAGCAACATACGGTATATGTATCGCAAAAATAGGTGATTGAGCTCCTACAGATGCACTCTTCTCGTGGCTCAATGGCAGCTGACTTCCGTGTGTATCGCTTGTAAACTTGTTTGCATATGAGGAGGGAGTGAACTTGGATCTACTGCTGTCGTCCAGGCGATTTTTGTTGTTGTCAATTGGGAACGCTGTAAACAACGATACAAGTCTACATGAGTCGACCCCCGAACGGATGATACTACTTCACATAAACACCCCGCTCAATGCCATCCCCTGCTTTACTGGAGCGTCAGCCCTTCTGCTCAGAGCTGTGGCTCATGGTAGTACGTCTATGTTTGCGCGATTACACGCGCGTTGCTGCCACTTGTACGGCATGCCCGTTGCAAAAAGGAGACGTTATGGTCGATGAGGGCTCACATCGTGCCCAGCCTCGCTAGCCTCCCGATCATCTATTCTTCCGGACTCTTTTCCTGCGTTACCTACGATAAAGCGCAGCCTGATACGATACTGGAAGTAGTTGCGAGGTTGTCGTGAGTAGCTCAATTACCAGACTCGCTGCATCGCGTAAAACACGAAAACACGACAACGATGCCGCTGAGAGCTGCTTCTTAGCCATGTGGCAAGATGTGTACCTTCCAGGTGCGGTGCAATACTTCAAATCATGAGGTGATACATGTGTCTGTTCCTTGTGACACGTTCACTTGCAATGATTGCGTCGGTATGGAAGGCACTCTCAGAACGACAGTGCTCGATGTAACTCGAAACATGGAGAGCGTCCGAAATACTGAGTTGCAGCAACCGTTCTCTCAAGCACGAGGAGCACACACGTCCTCGCAAAAACATGTGCTCCTCTGTCTCGACCGAACGAGTGACGTCGAAATCATAGCGCGTTTCATTACCGCAGGCGCGTCGTTTCCTCGAACCGGTTGGCGGTTGAGCTTTGTTGAAGGTGACTGGTCCAATGCCACTTATGCTGATCAGTGCGAGCTATTTACGGTCGTGACTGCTGTCAGAGCAGCAGGATCAGAAGAACAGGATGTTCGGGAGAAGCGCAGACTGATGATGCGACGTCGCAGCAAGTGCTCGGGCGAGGTGCTGCATGGTGTTACCACGATGGGGCAAACGTCCACATTTAGTCAGCTCCGGTCAGCAAATCACGTTCTCGACTCACTGGACCAGCTCGGGCAGTCGTTGAATTCGTCTCTCACCACGTGCAGACGCCTCCTCGCGCACTGACTCTCGCCATCCGCCAACGGACTGCAACAAACGCTTTGCCTTTGTAAAGTGCTCCGTACTTGGACGTATCCCAGCAGCTTCTCATTGTGTAGCAGACGGATCGATTCGATTCACTCAGGAACTTGCTGCCGACCGAGCACTCGTCAAGGCACCACTGACCCCATGCGTATCTGCTTCGTCCTTGCGCTACTTGTGGCGACCTTTGTCGTGAGCTCCGTCAGTGCTGTTGATGTGACTCCGTACTCGACTAGAGACCGTTTTAACGAGCGCACCAAACCTCATCATCGTCTTCGCGTGAAGGAGACTTTCCAGGAGGAACGATCGCCCGCCGTCATCGATATCGCGGAAACCGTATCGACGCAGGTCTTGAGCAGAGAGAATACGGTGGCTGGAATGTTAGCACGAGAAAGTGGCCCGATCAAGGAAGGCGTCGGACGACGGCCACGAAGTGTGCGTGACCACGTCATTGGTGGCATCCTGGCGCTTCTTACTGCCAGTGCCTTGATTGGCGGCGGCATTGTAGCGATGCGGCTATGGCACAAGTAGCGCGACGTGCGCTTTGCCGTTCGTGGTTACGGGGCTTGCATTGACAATGTGGCACCAGTTTGTGTTGCAGGACAAGCGACTGCTGCAACTGTATACAGCTTCATCGCAAGGTCGCAGGCTTCTCAGTGTAGCAAGTGTGGAACGGCTGACATTCAATGTAGCTTGCTGATCTTTGCACGGCTGACCCGACATGCCATCCCATGTTCGACCTCGTACGCACAGTTTTGCAGTGTACGCAGCAGTGGGTCTACTGTGCTAGTGCAGTAGAGCTCTTACCGACGTTCGTTTGAAGTTCGTCGGGTTCAGAGCGCTTGACACAGGCGATGGCAAACGCCCCTTCGTTCACGCATGAGGAACTCGACGTCGAGAAGCCGTTCTTCGAGGGTGGGTGGGCGAGCAGCTCCTCAGCGCGTGTGGTTGAGCTGATGCAGCAACGATTGCGATCGGTTTTGTAACTACTTTTGCTGATCGAGACGAGCAGAGGTCAAGAGTTTGGCGGTAGAGCTTCACGACCTGCAGATGCACAAGTGCTGTCAGTGCCTACTGCCAGCAGCCACTCGACGCAACGGCTGGCGTCAAAACGACAAGAAGGCTGCAAGATCTCGCTGTCGCCGTTCGTGTCGCTTGAACCTCAGTACTCATGGGCTGATGCGCCGAGAGCTGCTATGCAGACACTGTACCACGTGGTGCGTATCTGCAAAGCGGTCGTACGGCAACGTGGTGGCGAGGGGGGTGAATTCGTAACGATGCAATCGAGTTCGCCCGTATGAACTGGTGGCATGAAGGGCTTTCGTGCCACGACGGCCGCACTACGTGAGTTCACATGGACAATGGCGGACACAGGTCGACGCAGATAAAAGGAGAAGAGGTTGTCGTACGTGCGTTCTGCCAGAGCAGCTCCGGACAGGTCCATATGTGTCTGTCAGACGGCATTCGTCGCTGAGCGCATCGACCCAATTGGATACAAAGTGGTCCGGCTCTCTGGCTCCAGATTCGTGTTGGGCAGCTTCCCTCCCGATACGAATACCGCGACAAAAATCCCGAGAGAGCTGGAATCAGATACGCGAGCTGATGGTGGCGAGGGCAATGTCGGTCGGTGGCTTTGCACGTGCGGAACGGATATATGAGGTTCCAATAGAAATGATGCGCAAAAACAACACGTTTGCGCCTAGATCGAAGTGAACCACATCAAAGCATACATCAGCTGATCACTATCCTCCAAACCGATCTGCCGCGTGCTCAAAAGTAACAGCAAGCAATATCCACTGCCGTCGCTTCAACCCGCTGTAAAACCGCCTAAACATTTTATCCAGAGATTCACACAAATCGCACACTTTGATCAAATTTTCAGACTCCTAACGATGACGATAGTTTACAAAGTCGTTGGCGATCATCACGACACGTTTTATCATCTTGATCGAGACATGGATCCCTCGACAAGGCAGTTAGTTGTATGGACTACTGCAGCAAAGGATACCATACTGCTCGAGCACACCCATACAGTATCCCTGTTGACCCCATTGCAACAGGCGCCCGAATCCCTCCTCTCCCTTTTCGACAGCCACGTTCCGTCTTGTCATCCTGCCACTCACTTGCGTCTAGAATGGTCGGACTGCACCTGCTACTGCCACGGACAGACCTTCGCTCGCGTTTCGATAGTGGCTGCCACTTCAGCTGCGTACCTGCTGCAAAACAGCGGACAGGCGAGTCAAAAACTCACACACACACACACACACACACAGAGAGAGAGAGAGATGTCGATACCAATTGCATCGTTCAGCTTCGGCACGTGTCTCGCACAACTAACTCACTGTCTGGCGAAAAAAAATCACTCGCGGCAAATCACGCGCCCCCATCCACTGGCTATCGGCAGCAGGTGACGCGCAACGTCGGGAAGTTCGGCCGACGACGCACCTGATTGAATCAGGAGCAGCTGTGGATCTGCGTATCTTTTCGCAGTCCTGATTTGCATCACTCACTCTCTCTCTCTCCTGACCTCTGGTCTCGAGCAGATCTGCTTGAAGCGGAAAAGTAGAGACCCCACCTACTGCTGCGGTTCCAGCTCTTCACTCTCGAATCTCCTCTTGCAACAGCAGACACACCCCCTACTTGTGCCTCCTCCTCGTCGTTGTGGATCTCCTGTCAACATGACGGAATACGGCACGACGAAAAACGGATACGCCAACTTGGAAGAGAGCAGTCGGCTGCCCTTCTACCACGTCCAGAACCCGAGTGTGCGCGCGTACCTGGCCGAGTTCGTCGGTACCTTTATCCTCGTGCTCATCGGCGACGGCTCTGTCGCGCAGTACGTGCTCGGGGGCGGAACTGCCGGTCACTACTTGTCCGTGAACTTGTCCTGGGGCATTGCACTGCTCTTCGGGATCCACTTTTCCGGCGGCGTCAGTGGCGGTCACCTCAATCCCGCCGTGACGCTGGCACTGGCCTTGTTCAAGCGCTTCGAGTGGACAAAGGTCCCGGGCTACTTCTTGGCCCAGACGGCCGGGGCATTCGCAGCCGCGCTCGTTGTCTTCATTGTGTACTACCCGTGGTTCGACATGCAGGACCCCCAGCGAGAGACGACGCAGGGCATCTTTGCCACGTACCCGAACGCCCAGATCCCCAACTGGTCGGCGCTCGCGAACGAGATCATTGGAACGGCGTTGCTCGTGAGCGGGATCTTTGCCGTGAGTGACCAGCTCAACAAACCCGCGAGCCCCTACAGCTTTCCTGCTGCTGTTGCCCTGATGCTCACGAGCATTGGCATGGCCTTCGGACTGGACACGGGCTATGCTCTGAACCCAGCGCGGGACTTTGGGCCGCGTCTGTTCACGTTCTTCGCGGGATGGGGCTGGAAAGTGTGGACTCTGCGTGGCGGCTACTTCTGGATCCCTATCGTCGGACCGTTCATTGGCGCAATCATTGGAGCAGCCACCTACGTCGGGCTCATTGAAGCCCACCACCCGCCTCAGGTGTAGGAAGAGAGACGCGTCGCGATGGTCGACTTTGCAGCGCCCTTCGTCGAATGTCAATACACATCTCAGTGATATGGCTTTGGATCTCGTACCTCATTCCTTACAGCACACACTGCGCGATACTTTTGCACGGCGTTCGGTTGCAATCTCTCATACCTTTGGTAGAGATCACTTTGGTTTGAAGCTGACGGCTGACCTCTGTGGTCTTCTTGCAAGTTTGACAGCTCGGGCGACGTCTATCGTCGTGACGACATGACAGGTTTCAATCGATTGTGTGGAAGAACTGGTGAGCACAACAGAACTGTCGAATGCTGCAGCTAGTGCATCAATACAGCCTGTTTACTGCACATTGGTAATCTCCTACAATGTGATGGTTGCCGCTCAGATTACGGCTCTGCTGGAGCAATGTTGGCACGACACGGGAATCGCGCACTCCTTTCGTCTGCAACACTGCACAAAGAAGACGGCTTTTACGATCGGGTACACTCGCGCAGTGCATCAGGAGCTGCACCCTGCCGCATGCAAATAGATGCAAGTTTTTCAGATCTCCTCCTGTTCACTTCCTAGGCACAGTCACAGTGTCACGTGGAACCAACGAGGGCATAAAGGCAGCGTCTCTTCCAAGTGACGATGAGGCGTTGTCTACAACGCAATGGGTCCGACGTGGATCGTCGAAAGTCTCTTGATCGACGTCGATCCCTCGACGTGCATAACCCACCTCTTGCCAGCCTCTCACTTTTGCATGCCGTACGTAGCAGGCAGGTCATCAACCACCGCCCTCTTCAACTGCGGCGGCCGGCTCTCGAGTCTCGCAGCCCCTTCCGCGTCCAGCACAAACAAACTCCATCTACACTTTACCTTCGCTATACCCGCCACTGTGCCCAGCAGCGCTCGCTTTCTCTGGCCAAACTACTACAGTCAACTCCCACCTTTAACACGTAACGTCCGACTCGACGGAACTTCAGTTTACATGTTTTTGTCGCGGTCGAGTCCCAACGTGATACCCACAAAGTGGTCCGACTTCCTATCCCAGAAACCGGCTGTCGTCCACTCGAGTCTCACGTCCCACGTAAAATGGTCGTCAAGAGTCTGCGCGGCAAGTCGAATGCCAGTGCGCGTTGGGTGCGTCGACAGTGGAGCGACCCCGTGGTCAAACAGGCCCAACGCGAAGGGCTTCGCTCGCGCGCAGCAATTAAACTGCGCCAACTGAATGACGTACGTACGGACGGACGGACGGCCGTTCGGCCATTCCTGTCGCTCCATACCTATCCATATTCTTATTCGCCATCTGCTTGTTCGAAAAGAGCTGCTCAGATATGTTTACACGTACGTATACCGTCGCTTGCTGTCCATTCGTTTTTTTTCGAGGTACGCAGCGGTTCCAGCTACTGAAACGCGGCGACGTCGTGCTGGACTTGGGCGCAGCGCCCGGCGGCTGGAGCCAAGTGGCTGTCGAAGCTACTGCCCGAACGAGCAAGAAGCAGCCACAGGGTGCAAGTCGGGAGTCCCTTCCGCGAGTCGTGGCCGTGGACCTCAAAGCCTTTGACCCCGTGGAAGGCGCCGTCATTGTCGTGGGTGACTTTCGCCAAGCAGCAGTGCGGACACAGCTGAGCAAAGCTCTGGGCGGCCGCAAGGCCGACGTGGTGCTAAGTGACATGGCGCCGTCGTTTTCGGGCACGTTTCTCACGGACAGCCACGCGCAGTTGCGGTTGTGCCACAACGCGCTCCAGATGGCCGAGCTCTACTTGCGTCCAGGAGGGAACTTTGTGACCAAGATCTTGCGCTGCGAAGAGTCTGAAGACTTTCGGGCCGAGCTTAAGTTGGCATTTGACGTTGTGAAAGCCATGAAGCCATCGGCGTCGAGACCCGAGTCCACCGAGATGTTCCTGGTGGCCAAAGGGTTCAACAAGTGCATTGCGAGTAGTCGTAGTAACCTGCCAGAGCAAGGAGAGAGGTAGTGTGTGGCCAGGCAGAAGCGACAAGAGTAAGTGGTCAAGACGACTCGCTGCTCTTGCACATGTCCATCTATTCAATTGCAGGGCTAGCTACCTAGCTAGCTAGCTAGCTGGGTATCGAGATGTGCTGGACGGTGAAAGCGCAGAAAGGTAACGTACTGCTCGAAGGCACTCTCGCCGAGCACACAGCAGAGCAGTCTGGCCACTTCAATCGAGACCATTCCAGTCAAAACACGCAGACTTGTCAAAAGCAGAAAAGAGAGAGAGAGGACACGCTACTGGGCATCGCCACCACACCGTCCACGGGCACCAGCATGCAACGACTAGTTCAGGTCCTGGCCCAGCCGGAGCGCCAGCAGCGTGTCGTTGTACTGGTTGAACGCGTCCTGGATGTCGTCCTGCAGCTGCATGGCGAGCGGAATCAGCTCGATGTTCACATTGCCACCAATTTGAGCCGACGCTGCTACACGAGGCTGCAACACCTTGACGGCGTGGATCATCTCCTGCAGCTCCGTGTCCTGGCGAACGTCACCAGCAGCATAGATGATCTTCTGCAGCAACTGGTGCACCAATTGCTCCACCTCCTGCAGATCGGCGTCGTTCAGCGGCTCTGCATCGGCAGCATTGGCCAGCGCCTCACGCTCTTCCTCTTCCCACCGCTTACGCGCTTCAGCGTATGCCTCACGTTCGCAAATGTCTTGGGTACGGAGCGTGAGGTTCAAGAAACGGTCCAAGTGGATGTTGAGCAGAGCGTCCGGCATCTGCGTGAGCACTTGCGTCATGTACCGGTTCATCTCCTTCTCGCGCTTGATAATGAACTTCTCCTCCTGGTTCTTGCCGATCATCGACGAGAACGGGTGACGCTTTGGGAAACGTGGGAACCACGGTGCACGCTTGCCGCGACGACCCGACGCAGCAGCTTTCAGCTCTTGATGAAGTGCATTAAAGTCGTTGTAGCGACCACCGACAAGCCAAGCGGTCTTGGACTGTTCGAGAATGTCACGGCCCCAGGTCACACGCAGCACGTACTCTGTGTACTCGTCGCCCCAGTTCTGGTCCTGCTGCTTGCGATGGCCGAGCATCGTGCACGTCATAATGCCGCCCTTGTACGGAATCGGAGGACCCGTCGGGAACTCCTGAATCTTCTCGACCGGATTGACCAAATTCTCGTCGTCGGCAGACATGACTGGGCCGGCAGGTGCCTCACCCCCTTCGCCGAAGAGATCGCGACCCGCCTGTGCAAGCTGTTCTTGACGCAATGCATCGCCAGCTACGCCTTCGCCTTCAATCTTGGCATTGTCACCAGCGACCCAGCTCATGTCAGCGTTCTGCAGTGACTCCTGTCCCACCATAGCGCCAGCAACACCCATCGATCCGACAGCACCAATCTGACCAGCCTGACCAGCTGACGCCTGCAGCGGCTGCACCGATCCCAGCATAGCGGGTCCATTCCCAGCAACGCCAGCTATGCCCGGCGCACCGAGCGCGGGGGCGACTCCCAGCGTACCAGCTGCAGCTGCTTTTCTCTGGGCCTCGTCGTATGCGCTCAACTTACGAAGCGCAGCCGCCTCAGCGTCGTGCGCCATGGACGCGTCCTGCGCGGCTTGAGCGGCATCCTGGGCAGCCATCGCGGCAGCGAGTGAAGCTGCTTGTGCACGCTCCACAGCAGCCTGGCGCCTTGCCTCTTCGCGACCAACGGACCGACGGTACGCGCGTTGAATAGCAGTAGCAGCAGCAGCACGCCGGAGCTCCAACTGGCGCTGATGCTCACGTTCCTCCTCTTCTTCCTGGATACGACGCTGGCGCTCCTCTTCCTCTCGCTGCAACCGTAGCTGCTCCTGCTCGGCAGCAAGTCGTCGCGCCTCCTCCACCGCCAGGCGAGCCTTGCGAATGTGGTGCAAGCGCTTCACGAAATGGCGCTGCGCCTGGATGACGTAGAATGCCGACATCCAGCGCCGCTTGGCCGACTTCTTCTTCTCAGCCTCAAGACGCGCATTCTCTTCCAGCAGCCTCTTCCGCATCTTCTCGTCTTCCACCTGAGCGCGACGCTTGTTTGCCTGCTTGCGGCCGAGCTTGCCACGGACAATAGACTGAATCTTCACAGCTGCAGCGTGCTGTCCAGCAAGCTGAGAGGCCATGCGTTCGCGAGTCTGTTGCAACAGCTTCTTGAATGCATTGGCGGCCAACACGCCACCGATAGCCATCTTCCAGTGTTTCTGAGCTTGCCCTTTACGGCGCATCTTGAGGCGGTACGCATTGCGAGCGCGAACAAACTGTTTGCGGACAGCAAACATGCGCATCACAGCTTGCATCTTGATGATGGCAGCCTTGCGTCGTCTAGTGTCCTCCAGCAGACGCAGGAACGCGCGCTGAGCCAGTACCTTGGCCAGAGCATAACGCCAACGGCGACGTGCGAGCCACTTGCGGAGCCGAGCAACGATCCACGGTCCCATCTTCTTCATGTCAACCTTTAGCAACGCGTCGAGCAGAGCAATCTTGCCCGTCTTGAAGAAGACCTTCGTGCGACCAAGACGGTACGCGTCGGACTCGACACGGAACGACCACAACACGGCCTCGGTAAAAGTACGGTCGTTGTATGCGTTGAACATCGGCGTGACGGATGGCGGCAGCACGGGCTTGTAGATCCGGCAGATCTCCTCATACGCCACACGCGTGGGCAAACCGACCTTCAGCAGCTCGCACGTCGCCAGCATACCAGAGCAGCGCAGCTGGTCCACGACGTAGCCGTTGTCGAAAACGCCAGGCGTCATCGTCGGGTTCGGCTTGATACAGCGGATAAAGTTGGAGCGCGTCGCATTCAACGTGTCCGTCAGCTCTTGCATTTGGTCGCAGAACTTGGCCGACACGCTCTGCTTGTGCATCTGGCTCATGCTGGACGCACCGTTCATCGTTTCCACATCCATCTTGGACGAAAACAGCTCCTTGATCAGCGAAGACTTACTAGAAGTCACAAAATCTTCCAGGTCTTTCGGAATCGTGTCGTTGTTCTTGTCGATAAAGTTGCCAATCGTATACGGCACGCGCGTAGCAAAGTGCTTCACAATAAACTCGTACTTCTTGTCCTTTTCGTGAGGAGGCAAAAAGTGCGGGTGGCTTGCGTGCATCTTGTGCAGCGCAGCATTCCATTTCTCATCCGATGCCTTGGGCATTTTTGCCTCCTGATCCAACAGTGGCAAAATACCATTCGGTTTCTGCGAGATCAAGTCGATGCATTCACGGTTGTCGGGCCAAATAATCTTGCCAACTTCAATGCCCTCCGCTGCAAACAGCTCTTGCTCGGCAATGAACACCTGCTGATTAAACGTGGCCTGCAGAGCCTCGTTGGCGTAGTTGATCAGCAGCTGCTCAAAGTCGTTCTCCTCAAACGACTCGAAACCAAAGATATCGAGCACCCCGATGAACGGGAGCGAACTGTCGCCGTGGCCGAGCGAGCCGTTGATCTTGTACAGAATCCACTTGAACAGGCGATTGTACATCGACTTGGCGATCGCGTCACGCACATAACTTCCCTCCTTCGCTGTGCGCCGGATCGTAAAGTTCTCGGTACGCGTGGAAATCTCGCGAGTATTGATCACGTGCAACAAATTGTTGCTGTCCACGCCAAGCAACTCCGCACACGACGCCACGTATTTTTTCGCTTCCAGCGTCACTTCGCCAGCGTCACCCTCCGCCGTCTCGCGGTCTTCCAAGCGGATGTTACCCAGATGCAGCAAACCCGACAGGATCCTCCAGACTTGCTTCTGTAGTCCAGCATCGATGTTTACCGAGCCAAGCGCACTTGCTACTTCGTCGAACAGAATCTCGTCGTCTACGTTCGGGTCCGACACGCAGCCACTTTGGTTCAAGTAGTCAAAGTTGTTGACCGACTCGAGCTTCAGCTCCCTGGCTAGTGTCGGATTTGCACCGGACAGCAAAAAGTAAAAAATGTGAAAGTTGCGTTCGCCAGGAATCTGCGCCACAACACGAAACTTCTCCAGCAAGTACGTCTCAATAAACGCGCCAGACAGCGTATTGTCCCCGGGCTTGAACTGCAGCTTCATAAACTTGCCAAACCGCGACGAGTTGTGGTTCCGCAGCGTCTTGGCATTGCCAAACGCTTCCAAAATGGGGTTCGTATCCCACAGCCGCTTGTCCAGCTCGAGTGCCAAGTCCTGCTGCACGACGTTCCCCTTGTTGACCGTCAGCGCCAAGTGTTCCCTCGACGTGAGATACCGCAGTACAATCTTAGACGTCTCCGTCTTGCCAGCTCCCGACTCGCCGGAAATGACAATCGACTGGCACTGCGCCGGTGTGCGCAGCGCCATTTGCTGGAACGCCACTTCGGCAATCGCGTAGGGGTGCGGGGGGCAGTCGCCCATCTGCGTCTTGATATAGTCCGTGACTTTGGGCTCCACCGTGCGCACCAGTGGGTTCACAGCAATCAGCACATTGGCCATGAGCGTATACGGCCGCAGGTTGTCCATCTTCGACCGCACGTTCAAGTTCGCCAAGATCCCGGCCTCGTGGATGTAGTAGAGACCCGTCATGTCGTCCACGACGCGGGGATTGACCTTGTAGAGGTCGCCAATGTCCCGAAGGTCGACCGTCTCGTGGCCAAACTGGCCCCGCACGGTCAAGACCATACCCTGCTCGGGGTCGTCGGCCTGTTCGTAGCGCACGATCTCCACCACGCGCCACACGCGCTCGGGGTCGGGGATCCAAATGTGCGCCCCGATCTCCACGGGCGTGTGCTGCAGAGCCGCGACCACTTCCTGCGTGTTGCGCTCGCGCGCCGAGTGGAGCGCGCGCTTCTTGTTCTCGAGCACGAGGCGCTGGGCGATGCTGAGCTGCGCTTCGTTCACGGGCGCCGCGCGGTGCGGCTGGAACCGGTCGTAGGACGGCAGCGCGCTGGACGGCGCGATCTCCACGCGCGGGCGGCCCGACATGATGCGGCGCGCGCTCGAGGGGCAGTCGGGGAGAGGGGAACGGGGAGGCCGACGGGTCGTTCCTGGCTCGAGGAGAGACTTTCGGGTGTGCCGGACGAAAGGGCGTCGGGAGGGGTGGGGGGGGATGGAGGCGAGCGCTGATTGGAGGAAAAGGAGCGCCTTCGAGCGTCGTTTTGTGGCGAAACGTGGCGCGGGACTGGCGGGTGCGTCGTTGGCCACGACGTTTCGACTCGACGCAGGCGGTCAGTTTGGTCGGGACGTGTTCGTTGGTAGGGACTGTGTGGTTTGGATCGTTTGTGGGTGTGGGGGTGTGTGTTACTTGGTGTGGGAGTTGGTCGTGTAAGCGATTGCGGTAGAGGCAGTCGATGAGTCAGTTGTTGTGGGTACGTCGTCGTCCTGCGTGACATTGCTGCGCGTGCTCTCTCTTTTTCTCTCTCTCTCTCTCTTTTTCGCTTTGTCTCGTCCGTTTGCGTGTCTCGCACGATAGCACGAAGGAGAGCTTGCTGGTTGAACGACTGCGCGTGTTTTCGTGAAGACTTGGGCTGGCTGGCTCTTCGTCGCGAGTGTACGACGGTCTGGGGTAGAAGATGTGCGGGGTGGTCGGTGCTTGACGCATCATCGTTCGAGTGGCAAGTGTCGAGCAGGGAGTGTACGGATTGCATGTGATTTGAGCGCTGCTGCTATTGCGGCGATGCGGGCGAGAGAGGGAAGCTGCGTCGTGCATGGGGTACACGAGGGTAGACGATGGACATGTCACCGGTGTTGCAGTTTCTGTCTGCACAGCTACGCATGAGGAGAGAGTTGTCCGCGACGAATGTGTTTGCAGCAGCGAATGGTGCGAAGATGGTGTCATATGCAGCTGCCAGCAGATCGCACGGTACGCACTGTGTCGAGAGGTCCACAAATGAATGGCAGTCGACCGACAAGTGTTCACGTCTGTTCGCAGTGTCGGCGTTTGAGGAGGAGAGACGTTGCGTGTCCGGGACGTTGTGTCTCGACGACGCGGCGGGTTAGGGCACGTGGGCTTTGTTTACGCTCTCTGTTCGCCACGATGGAACGAACGAACGCTCTGCACAAAAAACGCGCTCGAAGTGACTTTACATTCGCACGACTTGCAAAAAGCCGACACTAGCGGAAGTAAAAAGAATCGTAACTTGATCAGGTTTTTCTACTGGGGGGGGGGGGGAAGCCGTCGAGGACGCGGTTTTGTATTGGGCCTTTCCGACCTCATTCTGGCTTTTCGACTGACTATCTTTGCTCGCGTCGGCTTATCTTTCTTTGCCAACTGCTTTCTCTGGACAAAGTTAACCTTCCCCGTAATGTCGAGGGACGTGTCTCCAATTTGCTGCAACTCGAGCTTCGCCAGCAGTTCGTTCGAGCGCTCATTACCATGCTCTATCTTCTGCGCTTTTACCTCCAAGCGAGCGACAAACTCGGTGTTACATCAGGTGCTGGCTCGTTGACGCCTCGTACGGGCACCTTTTCACGGCAGCTTTCTTCCCAGAGAGGGGATCAACCGGTTCGGTTTGACTATGTTGGTTGCGTATTATTGACATACGCAGACTTACATCTGGTCGATGTAATGTTAGCAGCGTAGAAGGTTAACTCTTGCTAAGAAATCGAGACAATCTATCGATGATTGGTATGTGGCCTGCGTCGATAAGACCGGACTCATGAAAGCTATGAAAAAGCTGCCGTCAAGGTCATCGAGAATGGATTCCACAAATGGCCATATCTGACAGGAAGGAGCTGATGACTAAGCTAGAAGCGCTCGCGACACGACACTCGAGCGCTAAAGAAGCAGTAGAGCTTCAGCCTTATCCAGCACAACTTTGGTTGTAGTCGTCCGAGAGCAAACCACGGGTCCGATATGGAAGCTCATCGCATATCTGACGAGGCTCAGAACATTGGTCAAATGGTTCGAACACCTTAACAAAGCACAACAGCATCTGTGTGAGCTGCAACGCGGCTGCCAGAGGCGTGTCATGATGTGTCTGGGGCATTATGACTGCAGAGAATCCTCTCATAGCAGCTCAACTCGGAGGGCCTGATGACTCTGAACCACGATCGCCCTTACCGTGGGTGCCACAACAAGTGAGTCTTCAAACGAATGCTATCGTACGTAGCTGCAGAAGTTGACAAGCTGCTATGAAGAAGGACAAAGTAAAGATGCCGACGCTTTGCTACGTCCAAGCCGACGCAGATCATGGCACTTGTAAGCTGACTGTACAACTTCTGCAGCGACAGGTGTTCAATGCCCCAACAAGAAACGAGTATCGGCACTACAGAGAACAATCGCTGCTTGCCTAAGCGACGCTACCTGATCGCATGGATGTCATTGCGCCGACAAAGGTATGCATTGTTGTACCTGCGGTACAGCATCGACCACAGCTCATGCACATGCGGTACCAACAACTTGTTCAACACCACCATAGAGACGCGAAGTAACGACTGTCCTACAACTTACTGCACATTACCCTGTAACAAACGCACCGCAGCCCTTACTGTGGTGCGTTTGTTACAGGGTAATGTGCAGTAAGGGCGTCTTGCAGTGCCTAATAGCACGGATGATGGATAACAGTGTAATGAAACTTATTTCCCCCTAATAGCACGGATCATACCTCACCTCGGGCATATCCCGTGTCTAGCCAAGCCTCGAACTCAGTATAAGCAATCTGGTGTGCACCACACCACACCACACCGCACTTCAACCCGTCTTCCCCCATTGATACGCGCCGGTATCTCCTCCCCCACACTCACACTCACATTCGACAATACCCCCACACGAATCCACTCGCACTCGCCCTCCACGTGCGTACGTGTCCCTCGCCCGATCCAATCCACGCACTCAGACAGACAGACAGACAGACAGTCAGCGCGCCCGCCACTCGAAACACTATGGCGAAACTCAGTCTCCAGCACGTCGACGTCCAGCACAAGCGCGTGCTCATCCGCGTGGACTTTAACGTGCCGTTCGCTCCGGACGGGTCGATCGCTAACACGCAGCGCATTGACGCGGCGCTCCCCACGGTGCAGTACGTGTTGGACAATGGCGCGACGGCCGTCGTGCTCATGTCGCACTTGGGGCGTCCAGACGGCCGACCCACGACGAAGGACTCGCTCGCGCCGGTCGCAGCTGTGCTCGAGCAGAAACTCGGCCGCACCGTCACGTTCCTCACGGACTGCGTCGGCCCCCACGTCGAACAGGTGTGTGCCGAGCCCCCCGTGGGGAGCGTGATCCTGCTGGAGAACCTGCGCTTTCACGTGGAAGAAGAGGGCAAAGGCAAAAGCGCCGACGGCAGCGCTGTTGTCGCGACGGCGCAGGACGTGGCGGCCTTCCGCGCGTCCTTGAGCAAACTCGGCGACGTGTACGTGAACGACGCGTTCGGCACTGCCCATCGCGCGCATAGCTCCATGGTCGGCGTCGACCTCCCGGTGAAAGCTGCTGGCTTTCTATTGGACAAGGAGCTCGTCTACTTTGCCAAGGCCCTCGAGAGCCCCCAACGCCCGTTCGTGTCGATCTTGGGCGGGGCCAAAGTCGCGGACAAGATCCCGTTGATCATGAACATGCTCGACAAAGTGGACGCGATGGTCATTGGTGGCGGCATGGCGTACACGTTCAAGCACGTGCTGGCGCAGATGGCGATTGGCGACTCGCTGTTTGACACGGAAGGCGCCAAGATCGTGTCGGAGATTGTCGAGAAGGCCAAGGCCAAAGGCGTGACGCTGCACTTGCCGACGGACTTTGTCATTGCCGACAAGTTTGCTTCTGATGCTGCGAAAAAGAGTGTCACCGAGGAAGAGGGGATCCCAGCGGGCTGGATGGGGCTCGACATTGGTTCAAAGTCGAGCGAGGCGTTCTCGGCTGCCATTGCGACCGCCAAGACGGTTGTGTGGAACGGCCCCATGGGTGTGTTTGAGTTTGACGCGTTTGCCAACGGCACGAAAAGCGTCATGGACGCTGTGGTCCACGCGACGGAAGCGGGCGCCACGACGATCATTGGCGGCGGCGACACGGCCACGTGCTGCGTGAAGTACAAGACGGAGGACAAGGTCAGCCACGTGAGCACGGGCGGTGGAGCCAGCTTGGAGCTCCTCGAGGGCAAGGTGCTGCCCGGCGTGGACGCTCTATCCCCGGCGTGAACCGCAGCTGCACGCGACCGCTCTTTGTTCGGAAGGAGTGGTCTGTAGTGTAGTCGTTGGCCTCGTTCCTCTTTGCCAGCTACAACGAATGGAGAGTGGTTTCTGAGTTGACACGGTCCATTGTGTTGTTTTCTGTCGTAGCAGAGTAATGAACGTGTCAATATGGGTGGGTACACTCTGCAAATGGGTACACTCTGCAAAGGGATACACGCGGCCCATGGGTACAAATAGCGTAGGGATCCATACAGCAAATGGGTACAAAAGGATGCCAAAAGATTCAACGACGAGGGAACGTTACGACACGACACCTACCGGTCCATACCGACGCCAGTTCGAATGGTATATAATGCGGTGGAAGGAGACGTACGTACCGTCCACCCTACAAGAACAAGACCTACATGAGCACCACGTTGCAACGTGCGCCTTGTTTCGCCTTCGCAGACCTATTACCACACCATATGTACGAAGAGCACTGTCCTCCTCCTCCTCCTCCATCTCCACCTCCACCTCCATTTCTCCATCCCCCCCGCCATCTTCTCTTGCATCGGCTACTACACCTCCGTCGTCGAGTACGAGCCCGTGTAGTTGAGCTGGTCAAAGCCCGTCATGGCTGCATAGTTGTGGAACTGCTGCTGCGACTCATTGTACTCGCGCTCGACCTTATGGCTGTTCCATTCCTCCATCTCGCGCTTGTAGCGCGCGCGGTCGACCTTTTCCTTCTCGACAAACGGCGCCTTCTGCTCGTCCGTGGCTTTGCCCCAGGCCTCGCCCAGCTGCTTGGAGATCTCCGTGTTCTTCATGTCCTGGTGCTCGGCCTTGATCCGCGGCCGCATGACTTGGCTGTAAAACAGAAATGCCGACGACGCGCGCTTGGGCGCGTCCGGGTGCTTCTTCGCGCGCTTGTTGGGCACGCGCAAGGGCCCGTCGTAGGCCGCCATCTCCTCCTCGTAGCGCTGCTTGTCGGCCTCGGCCGCAACCTTCCACGGCTGCTTGTCGTCGTCGCTCATCTTACCCCACGCGTCGGCGATCGCGCGCATCACGTCCGTCACTTTGGAGTGCTCGGGCATCGTGGCTTTGATCTCCTCGCGCTTCTCCATGGAGAACAGAATGTACGGCGACTTGCCGCGCTTGGGCGCGCCGGGCGCCTTTTTCTGCAGCCGCTTGCGCTTCTTCCCGCCGCTCGCTTCGGTTTTCAGCGCGGCCCACGCGGCGCCGGCGCCATGTTCGCTCGCTGCAAGTGGTTCCATGGCGCGCGTGGAAAACCCGGGAAAATTGCTTGACTTCGCTTGAGTATGCCGGTTACTCGGGGAGAATGAGCGCTCGAGGCATACAAACTCAAGAGATTTCGATGGGCGGGACGACGCGAACAGCGCCACGAACGTCGCGGCTCGTTGGCGGCGGCGGGGCGACACCAACGCCGCGTCTCATTGGCCGAAAGCCTGCACCTGCGAATGTATCGAGAAACGCGTTGCTGGCCGTTGAATGGATGCGGTCCGATATAATCGCGGCCGAAGACGTCACTGGCGTCGAAGAGTGACACAAAGGCATCACTTATCAAGGACCAGCGCGACCTGCGAGAAGGCGCGAAACCCCCGGGCAAAAGATTCCGCCAATGGACTGCTTTCAACTGTCGTGCAGCATACAGCATGCGGTTGCACAGGTGGCTGCGACGCGCGCCGCTCACGCCATCACCCGTACCCACGCGTACCTGTACCCACCTGCGCTCGCTGCGCCTCCTCCTCCCGACGGCGGACCCAGCAGCATGGCCAAGCACCACCCGGACCTCGTCATGTGCCGCAAGCAGCCGGGCGTCGCCATTGGTCGGCTGTGCGAGAAGGACGACGGCAAGTGCGTGATCTGCGACTCGTACGTGCGGCCCTGCACGTTGGTGCGCATCTGCGACGAGTGCAACTACGGCTCGTACCAGGGCCGGTGCGTCATCTGCGGTGGCCCGGGCATCTCGGACGCCTACTACTGTCGCGAGTGCACGCAGCTCGAGAAGGACCGCGACGGGTGTCCCAAGATTGTGAACCTCGGCAGCTCCAAGACGGACCTCTTTTACGAGCGCAAGAAGTACGGCTTTAAGAAACGCTGAGCCGGCTGCAGCCACCCATGGGCAGACAAGAGGGGACTGTGGGTGGCTGAAAGGTACTGCTGCTAGTACTAGCTCTGGCTCTGGCTCTGGCTGTGGGTGGAGTGGGTGGACGATATATAGCAGTGGAGAAGAGGTGGTTCGGGTGATATTTGGTGAGGTGGATGGTTTCTAGGAGCTCAGGAGGTGGATCGACAGGGTTATGGATGGAAGATGAGCTGTCGGTTGTTTGCTGTGTGCTGTCGGCAGTTGAATACGACGTAGCAGTTCCCACACACGTCAGTACTTGCGCTTATGTTGAAAGCTGGAGATGGACTCGTTACTGCGCCGTGGTTTCTCCGAGCACGAGCTGTTGTCCGCTGTGCAGTTGGCTTTCACTATCTTGCTGTTCGCACGCCAATGACTTGTGCTAGCGCCGACAACTGTCAGCTGTGCAGCAACTCGGTGATGTATCGGTGACGTTGAACGAAAAGGTGCTGTATAGGGTCAATGAGATGAGGCGATGCTTGGTGGCATTGCCGTTGGCAGAGCGTCTCGTAGCACGATTAGTACTTGAATGCCGTCGAGCGAGTCTGTGAGAACTTAAGCCTCAGGTGCCTACCGCGTTCTTGCAGGCATCTCGATGCAATCAGTGGCTGGTAGGTGTTGAAGCAAAGAAACCTTCCTACTGGAAGACCAGCAAGTAAGTCAAGCATCGTTTACTTTGTTACGACCACTTGCTAACCCGTTGATTGTCTCGGTTGGCCCTGCCTGTTGCTTGTTGAACTGTCTTTCTTAGTGTGCCCAGATCCGTCCGGTAACAGCTACCTGCAGGCATGCCCGCCTATTTGCCTACTCCACCGTCAGCACCTTGAGCATATTGGTTGAGCCTGAGCGGGCCTCTACCATACCGTGAAGAGCCACGACGTTATCGCCAGGCTCTACCCAGCCAAATTGCTTACCCAGGTCTGTTGCACGGTACAAGATCGAGTCTGTGCCAATCATGGAGCCCATGCAACGCGCGGTGACGCCCTTGTTGAAGCCCTCAGCTTGACGGGCCGTTGCACCGAGTGCTGTAAGCACCAAGACGGGCATTGATGGACGAAACTTGGACACGAGACGCGCCGTGTTCCCCGACTCGGTGAGCACGACGATCATCTTGGCCTTGATGTCGATCGCTGTCTTCACAGCCGACGACGTGATGGCCTCTTGTGTGCTCATTTGGCCGTACGTATCGAGCACCGAGTCGTGAAGAGCCTGGTACAGCTCGTTGTAGTGGATCGCACCTTCTGCTTGCACGCAGATCTTCGACATCATCGTCACGGCTCCAGTGGGGTAATCGCCGTTTGCAGTCTCCCCTGACAACATCACCGCGTCCGTGCCATCGAGCACAGCGTTCGCGACATCCGTGCACTCGGCACGGGTCGGTCGTGGAGCTTTGATCATGGACTCGAGCATCTGCGTGGCCGTCACAACGGGTTTGCCAGCAATATTGGCCTTCCGAATGATCATCTTCTGGGCGAGAAACACCTTTTCCGGCGGGATCTCCATGCCCAAGTCCCCACGCGCGACCATGATACCGTCCGCCTTGGCCAAGATCTCGTCAAAGTTCTCAAGCCCTTCCTGGCTTTCAATCTTCGCGATGATCTTGATGCTCCGGCCGCGACGACCAAGCACCTTGCGAATGTTGTCAATGTCTTGGCCCGTGCGCACAAACGACGCAGCAATGTAGTCCACGCCGTGCACGAGACCAAAGTTCACGAGGTCGTCCTCGTCTTTCTCGGTCAGCGTCGGAAGCATGACTTTGCAGCCAGGTAAGTTCATGTTCTTGCGCTCGCCCAGCGTCGCCGTGTTGTCCGCCCGAGTCACGACATTGTTCTCTTTGATAGCCGTGACAGTCAGCACAAGTGCACCATCAGCAACGAGAATGGAGCCGCCGACTTTGACGGACTGGGGCAGCTCTGGGTACGAACAGGCGATCTTGGTCTCGTCGCCGAGGAAGTCGTAGTCGGTCGTGAGCTCCAGTGTCGAGCCCTTCTCGATCGTGACTTTGTCCTTGTTGGCCAGGAACCCCGTGCGGATCTCTGGCCCTTTGGTGTCCAGCATCGTGGCCACGTTCTTGTAGGGGCGTGTGGCCAACGCAGCCCGCAGTCGGTTGAGCGCCTCCGTGTGGCTCGCTTGGTCTCCGTGCGAAAAGTTGAAGCGCGCGACGTTCATGCCAGCGTCAATGAGCTCCGCCAGTCCTCCCTCGGACCAGCAGGCCGGCCCCAGCGTGCAGAAGATGCGCGTCTTGCGCTCCACACCCTCCACGCTGCGCATGATGCTCTCGAGCTGGCAGCCCTGGTGACTCAGTCCAATTGCTCCTGACATGGCTTCGTGTCAAGATCTACAACAAAAGAGAGAGACAGAGAGAGAGACAGAAAGCGCTATCAGATGCATGAGATCCTTTCCGCTTGAGCTCTAGCGACGGCCGGACGGATACAATTTTCCTGATCCGATCGGAGCCTCTGTGTGTACCTGTGCTACTTACGGCTTGTTTTGGACTTGACACAGTTACCACAGAAGGCACAATGACATGAGAAGCAGAGTATCCGAAGTCGCTGATAGCTTAAAAGTATCTTGCGGGTCCAACGTGGCGGACAAAAACAGGTCTCATGTCGCAGCTCTTCGATCGAACATGATGATGACGTGCCGAGAAAAAGTATCTTTATCTGCCGTTATCACGCGTCACACCTTTTCTTTGGATTACTGCAGAAATTCGTGAACGTTTCTGCCATGTTCACAATAGACGAAACACTGTCGAGCCGGGATACGCAACATGTGTACTCACATTTTTGCTGTTGCCAAATGGTCGACCACTGGAATTATACTTTGCTGCACAAATCATTGTGATGGCAATTAAGCTTCATAATTTGTATCGCAAGCCACATTGCCCTGACAGCTTCGTAATGGCTGCAAGATTTGGAAGGACAACTTGGACTTGCTCCGACAGATTATTTCATTCATGCCAATTTTAAAATCATCTTTTTGCATTATTGTATGTTATCTCTATGTATTGATATAATCTACAATATTTCAATTTCATGCCTGTTTCTATTCATCATACTTTTACCAAGAAAGTTTTGTCTTTACCAATTGGTAGGATTTAAGCAATACGCAGATTCGTGCTCATTTCTGAAAAGTCACCTCAATCACCTATCGGATAAAAAAACATTTTATATAAATATATCACAATATACCTTATGGTTTCGAAAGCTTAATAGTACTGATATCAAAAAATGCAATGGGTATATTATGTCTACATTATTTTAACTTTGTAATCATGTCTATAAATCGACTTGTTTTTCTTGCAACTATATTCCCGCCTTGCGGGGCTAAAATACTTCGTCGTGGTAGAGTAGCCGAATTTTTCTAGCTGGATCCGAGCGTAGGCAGGGATCACACGACGGGATAGGGGGAAATGATCCATCTGCAATGTACTTTCAAGGCTCGACGATATGATGGTCGAGACCATTACCTTTACAGCCGGACATGAGTGAAGATTGTTATCTTTCACGGAGACAACTAATATAGCCTCAAATAGGTACACAGTAAGAATTTTTTTGCGTACTACGTGTCCACTATCTAGCTTCGCTCACGCCATATTATGATCGGCAGATAACCGACGCTTCTGTTGTCAGTGTTACATACGTGAGGTCTTTAGTGTAAAACGTGATATAAGTAGTATATTGAAATACTAAACACACTAATTAATAACATGCAATGCGTCCTCAATTTTCTATTCGCTCTGGTTCCTTCCATTAAACAATGGCGACGTGAGGGGGAGCACGAAGATTATCACGGGCACTTTGGTTCATCACTTACCAATTGCGTGAAACATAATGATTCCAGACACTGATGTAGTTATCGCTCCTAAAGCCAGATGCGGTCCCTCTTCAACTAGAAAGCGCAATTACACCATGTATCGCGTAGCATGGTTGGTATACAGTGTCAAGAATTCCTAAAACTCGACCAATTGGCGAGGCGAAGCCGCGGGAGGTGTGTGCAACAGTAGTGGTCGATTACAATTTTTGTTAGAAAACATCCTATCGACCCATCGATCACAACAAACGCAGCGCTGTAAACAATTACGCACAGCCCAGTAATCAATTTTCATACAGTCGTTACGCACACACAACAATAGCAGCGCGCTTATAATGATGTACGATTTGGTGATCAAGATTGATAAATCGTCAACGCACCGAAAATAATGCTACTGACTACTGACTACGATGTAGAGAAAGCACTAGGTAGAAATTTAAGTACCTTATATGGTCAGATCTAGCTAATTTAACAGCGAGTGAAGTCCTGTGAGCGCAAAAAAATATGTACCTCCTAAACTGAACATATGTAAATTGACAAGTTTATTATGGGGAGCCACGCAAGTGGTAATGGAAGGGAGAAAAAGGACTTATTCAGAAAATGGAAGCTCAATTGAATATAAGACACGCGACTATGTTTCAGTAATTTTTGAATCGTACAGAGAATACCTACTGTCGGATTCAAAAGGCACGGCATATCGATAGTATGTGTGGTAGCGTCAGACTTGAAGCCCCCCCCCGAGGTGCGTGTGTTGGAGAAGACTACTAGGTCTATGTGATGAGATCCCAAATCACTCATTGCGCCGGATTGCCGACTTACGGAGGAGTAATAGGACGCCGCGTAAGAACTTTGACTATCCTTGTGTACCCGTCTGATAGCAGGTCGCACTCCTCGGAAGACTTGTGCGAGGATGTAGATGTCGGATTTGGAGAATAATATTTGAGACCCCGAGCGGATATGATTCACTCGGTGATCCAGTAGGTGGACAATCAATCGACCTGGTCGAGAAAGGACTTGTTACCGAATTCTTCTAAAATCAAGTCACTCCAGGACTTTTCCGTTTTTTCTGGTGTATGAACCACCAGAATTTTACCTTGCTCTTTAATCACTGCTGAGGGAGTCCGCTTTCGACAGCGGTTATTTTAGGGGGTGCTACTTGAGACGGACTGATAGACCAAACACTTGCTGAGATTCTGTTTGCACTTGGTTCTGCATCGCGACTGTCTTCGAAGGTAGGGCCAAAACGTTTCTTTTCCCTGGAACAGGCAAGCAGACAAACTAGGTTCCTTGAAGTACGACGAAGACGTGCTACGAAGATAGCAAATATGTTAGTCTCGACACACAGTAAAACCTATCTAAAACATTACTGTCTGAATACAAAAAACTCCATAAAGTAGTTAGTTCATTCTTCCCAAGATCGGGTCCACACACTTATAACCGAAAACATCTGTAAGTCATATATTGTTGGCAAGTTAAGGTCCCATTTTGGACTTATATTTTGTATAATTGCTTTTTGCACATAAGATCAAAATACTGTAGAATGATGTTAAGCACCACCTAAACACGTTTGAAGAAGTCTCGTATGTCAGACTAACGCATTTAGTTCGTGCGGATCGCCCCGACCATGTCCTTCATCTGCTGTAGTGACTTAATAAAAACTTGCGCATCACCATCCTGTTGCAGCCAGAATGTCTCAAGCAACTCAGCAGCCTTCTGAGCATCCACGACAGTACTTATAGCCTGTACCTGGCTTTCATCCTGCTCATCCTCGAGTTGAGTCAAAAGATGGTCTTAGATAATGTCATTCACATCCAAAATATTCGATGCGATCCGCTCAGCAGTACTTTCTCGCAGGTCACGGATATCCATCGGGTTGGGACACTCGAAGCGCCGTAATCTGATGATCCACTTCATCCATGACTTCATTGTCAAGACGCGGATCCTCGAGGACTGGTGGAGCATCATCTACTTCTGACTCAATATTGCAGTGCCGGAAACAGTTGTGGTTGGTCTCAGTGCGAACATCATTAGTATAACAAAAGCTCAAGTACTTATCTGTGCTGCAAAAACGGAAAATGGTATAGAGAGCTAAAATATACTGCTAAAATGAATGATTATATCACTTTATTAAATGACCAATTCAATATAGATTGTTTGAACCACTGTCCATGCAAGCTGCCTTTTTTACGACGCGCACACCACCGTCGTTGATCGTGATCCTCTAAACTTCCCCTCAACTTTCACTATCGCAAATTTCACTTTCACCGCGTAGTCGCATTGCTTGCAGTGCAGCAAGTGGCTTCGTCAGACAATCGGCAACTTGCATAGCCAAATGGACATGTTTCAGCTGAACTCGCCTTGCGCAATGTGAGTTAGAGCAAAATGTACCCTGAGGTCGATGTGCTTAGCTCGTGATGTGAATCCTTAATTCGTCGCGATATTTATCGCTGACTTGTTGTCCATGTGCACCGTAGTCGCTGTTAAACACGTGACACCCATCTCTTTCAGCATATAACAAATCCACATGACTTACTGCGTAGCTAATGGCAGTGCCATATATATGCTTCAGCAGAGGTTAAAGCCACAGAAGCTTTCGGCGCTTGATTTTGTGTACGACAATCGCGCCTCCAAGTAAAATCAACACACCAGACGTAGGTAGACCAGGATTCTTATCATTTACCCAAATTGCGTCACAATGTGCTCAAAGCATAATATTATTGTCGTCAATTTCTTGTACGAAAGTCCATGCGATTGTGTTCTCATGAGATATCGCAAAATGCGTAAAGCCGCAAGCAAGTGCATCTGTCGCGGCTGGTCCAAGTACTGCGATGATACTCACATTGCATGGCTAATGTCCGGTCGCGTTGCATTGGCTATATACAACAGCAAACCGAATAATACTCGATATGAAGCGCTATCTTATAGCACTGGTTGTGACTCATTCAAAGTCAAGTCCTGGCCTGCGCAGATTGGGTTGCGAAATGCATGTGCTTTACTAAGCCCAAACTTAAAAACCAACTTTATTTCGAATTGGTACTGTCTCAATACCACTTCTCCTTTTTCTTGTGAATAATTCACTCTAATGCCTCATATAAACTGCGCAGCTCCAAGTGACTTCACAGTAAAAGCTCTGACAATTCCTAATAAATCGCGTCCGCCTCTGCATATGACTTGAATCCGATCCGGAGGTCATCCACATACAAGACTATTTATATGCATGAATGAGTGTTTTTATGATCGCGTCGGGCAAAAATACATGTTTCCTATCCATATTGTTCAGAGCCCATGGTGAAAAATACAAAGCATGTTTTCTTGTGCCAAACGAAAGCCGCTTGTTTAACACCCATATAAGCTGCATCGTGATTTTCACACCATTCCGCGTGCAATAATGACTTCAAGGGGTGGCTCCATGAAAATGTTTCGTCCACATCAACATTTAAAAACGCTGTTTCCACGTCAAATTGCCGAATCACATGCTGCATGCTGCAATGAAACGACAAGAACACGTA